TCCCAGCTCATCGTCGACCAGATTACAGGAGAATTCGATGCCAATGAGGACACAATGCGGGCTTACAGGGATATGGCCCTCCCCCTTGTTCGCCTCTTCAATACCTTCCACATCAAGCACATACCTTGGGCAGAAAACTCCAAGGCATATGAGATGGCTCAGTTGGCCTCTGCAGACCAGTCCGACCTCAGCCATGGTGTCCACCTCGAATACCTAGCCCACCCGGCCATCTCACCTGACCTACAAGCAGTGCAGTTCCTCCAAAACGAACCTATCCCTTGGGCATCCGACATCTTCCTATTTTTGACAATGGGGGAACTCTCAGATGACCAACAGTAGGCCGCCAAAGTCAGAGCCCGGTCGTCCAATTACATCCTGGTCAGTGGTGTCTTGTACAAACGTGGTTTTTCACGCCCATACCTGCGATGCCTCAATTCGACTCAAGCAACCTATGTAATGCGGGAAATCCATGAGGGAATTTGTGGTAATCATTCGGGCGGCAGGTCTCTAGCCCACAAAATACTCGATACTGGTTATTTCTAGCCAACTCTCAATCAAGATGCGACTGATTTCGTGCTCAAATGTGATAAGTGTCAACGTTTTGCCAACATCCCCCATGCTCCTCCTATAGAGTTGATCACACTTTGTAGCCCTTATCCGTTCGCCAAATGGGGATCGACTTGGTCGGTCCACTTTCCACCGGCCGAGGCCAGACCAAGTTCGCGATTATCGCCATTGATTACTTCACCAAGTGGGTAGAGGCAGAACCCCTTGCCACCATCACCGAGCGGAACATAACCAAGTTCATCTGGCAATCGATCGTTTGCAGGTTTGGCATCCTTCAGGCCATCGTCTCCGACAACGGCAAACAATTTGACAACGCCAAGTACAGGAAGTTCTGTGCCGACCTCCAGATTCAACCATGTTTCTCTTCCCCGGTCATCCCCAGGCCAATGGCCAAGTCGAGGTCACCAACCGTTCTCTCCTAAAGATCATCAAAACTAAGCTAGAAGCTGCTAAGGGACTTTGGGCTGAGGAACTACCGAATGTACTCTGGGCTTACCGAACTACAGCTCGGACTCCCACTGGGGAAACCCCTTTCCGCTTAACATATGGCGCTGAGGCGGTTATTTCAGTAGAAGTCGGTCTACCTACTCTCAGGGTTTTACATCCGGATCCAACACTAACCGAAGAGCTCCGTCGGGCGGACCTGGACCTAATTGAAGAACTCAGAGAGACCACCGCTGTCCGACTGGCCTCATACCAACAGAAAATGAGAACATACTACAACCGCAAAGTCCGACCAAGGGAGTTCGCTGTAGGGGACCTTGTCTTGAGAGAAGCAACTCTTGCCACCAAAAATCCGACTGAAGGTAAACTGGCAGCCAAATGGGAGGGACCTTACGTTGTGAAAGCCCGACCACGTCCGGGCACCTACCGACTTCAGGACATGGAAGGTCGAGACCTCCCCCACCCATGGAACGCCGAACACCTGAAACGTTACTTTCAATAGGCTCCTACTTTTGTATTGCTCAGTTATTGTATTTTCTTTTTGACAAATTTACACATACTTGATATCCCCTCACGCAATGTAACTTTTTGATTAACTGGGTTACACTTTCTCTGCCAACAATTATATATCTCAGTTATCTGTATGGTGTCTCAATGACGTTTTGATTGCAGCACTCATGAAAAGCCTCAGCCAGACTGAGCATCATAAAGCCTCAACCAGACTGAGCACTAAAAGCCTCATCCAGACTGAGCATGAAGCACTCACCCAAACCAAGCCTCAGCCAGCCTAAGCATAACAAATCTCAGCCGGACCGAGCGCCACAATTTCAGGTTCAGACTGAGTTCCTTACAACGTCAGTGAATCATAGCTTAGCCCCAACTGAGCACGCGTGCAAGGCTCGGTCAAAGCCATCTATGCAAACTTCATGCTTGTGGAATTAGTAGACACACTTAGTCACAATTCCAGGTCCAAGTCTTTACAGCACTCTTTGCTTAGTCAAATTCCAAAGACGTCCTTACACGTTTTCTTTACAAGTCAAGTTATTTTCCTCTCAATCAAACTCTTACAAGTCAGCCTGTTTCCTTACAGGCCAAGCCTCATTCCAATAAACCACTAATCTACATCAGCAGTGTGGCAAACACAAACTTATAATTTTATTACATTTTAAGTTTCACTCTGCATTGAGGAGTTTCTAACTTTACCCTGCATTGAGTTTTTATTACAACTTCAATTTCACTCTACACTGAAGAGTTCTTAAATTTAGTCCTTATTACAAGTTTAACTCCACTTTGCATTTCACAATGAGTTATACACACGTCTCGCCCACACCTCATTCATTTCAGTTGCACAAGCACAGACAATCAAATGAAAACATAATTGCAATTTTATTTATTCAGAAATTTGTACATGAGTTCATTACAGCCATTCAAAAAAAAAAACAAAACAAAACAAAACAACAAACAAAACAAACACAAACGCACAAGGTCTGTACAAGGCTTTCTTCTTCTTCTTCAAACTACTCCTCTTCACTGGACATAAGGTCTTCTTCTTCAATACCCTCATCAAAGGGGGTTTGGGCCATATCGTCGTCATCGATTTTCACACTACTCAGGTCCAAGTCTGGGAATAGCTTCTCAACTTTACGCTTGAACATTTTCCAACCATTGTCCCAGAACTCAGCCATTTCGTGCTTATAAAAGTCTGACCGCTGGAAGCTCTCAATCACTTCTGCCTCAGTCTTTCCTCCAGCAGTCGTCCTCGACAGACCCGCCCCCCAGACTCCTCTCTCGCCAAGCTACTGGCGACTGCGGCATCCACTGCCATCTAAAATTCAGCAGACCCCTTGAACTGGTCCATTGCTGCCACATAAAGATCGGGGTAAGCCACCCTTTCAGAGGCTGCCTTAGCCCTCTCCTCCGCCAACTCCTTAACCAGGGTCGCCCTTTCAGCAATTGCCTTGGCTTTCTCTACCTCCAACTCCTTCTGAAGGCTCTCCTTTTCAGCAGTTGCCTTGGCTTTCTCTGCCTCGAACTCCTTCTAAAGGCTCTCCTTTTCAGTAGCCGCCTTGGCTCTCTCTGCTTCCAACTCCTTCTGAAGGCTCTCTTTCTCCTCCACTGCCTTAACACGCTCGCCTTCCAGCTCCTTTTGCAGACCGTCAATCTTCACGTCTGCCTCATCCTTCAGCCTGACCAGCTTTTCATTACTACTCATCGCCTCTTCATGTCGTTCGACCACGATCGCGTAGGCTTTTTGGGCCTCATCTAACCTTTTCTGCTCGCCAGCCAGTTGGAACTCAAGCGACACAACCTGGCGGCGTGTGTTCTCTAGCTCCACCTTGACCATTTGCAGATCAGCGTGGGCACTCTCCCAACTTACACTCTCCTTCTTCAACTTTGCAAGTTGAGCCCTGGCCTCATCTGCCTTGAGTTTTGCAGCCCCCGCCTTTCTCAGCAGAGCCCCTGCTAAGGTAGTTACCTCTATTTGAGCGGAGCATAACCCCCTCAGCAGCTCAGCCTCATTGAATCTGGCTGCTGAACGCAAGGCTGCCTCTTCCACAATCCCCACAAGGCGGTCTGCCCCTGCCCTGGCTGGGCCTTCTTCTCCCTTCAGTCGCCCTGCCACTGCACGAGCGTGGTAGATCGTAGTAGTCAGACTAACTCCCCCTCCTTGGGGTGCAGGACCCCCTTGGGGCTGTTCTCCCCTCCTTGGCTCAGGGCCAGTCGCCCCACCTTCTATTTGCACTCCGGGGGCGGCCCCTGCTACCTCTGTGGCTATCCCCACCACTACTGGGTCGACCTCCATCCCCTCCGACGCGATGTCTACCACTTCTAGGACGACCACCCTTCCTGGGGTCTCCTCCACTACCCCCCTCTCTGCCACCTTGGCCACACTGGTCTCTTCTGTCCTCACTTCCCTCCTTCTCTTCAGGGCAGGCTCTTCTTGACTTCTCCTCACCCTCTTCTTCTTCTTCAGAGCATCTCTCTCCTTGTTCGCCTGTTCCTTCACAGGATCCACTGGGGGCAGTCGGGGCACAAAACTACCTAAGTCTTTCTCCCTCAACGACTTGGGGCGCGGTCGGATCCGCTCTCTCGCGACCGGCTTCGGAGCAGTCCCCAGTTGGGACTCCTTATACTTGTCCGCTCGCGCGAACAACCTCATTTCGTCCTCCTCCTCCGCTTTCCTCTGTACCTCCAACTCCTCCCTTTCTGGACCCCCTCCCAACGGCTGTCGTCCCAAGTTTAAGGCAAACAGAACTGACGGTAGGACAAGCTCATCCCACCTTACTCCTTTCTCCTCCCTCCAATCCCTCACCCTCTTCACTTGGTCCTTAGTCGCCTTGTCCAGCTTGGGCTCGACCGATTTGGTGGGCACCTTCCAAGTTGTACGAACTCCCGTCCCGCCGTTTGCCATCACAAAGAACCACCTTGGCCTCCAGCCTTTTACTGAAGATGGCAGACCCGCCACCAGACCTCGTCTAGGCACCGCCTGTAGTATAACCCAAGTGTTCTGCTGGCCGGAGGCCTTGTAGCACGAGAAGAACTCATCTACCATCAAGGCCAACCCTCCCGACGTTTGCGGCCAAGAACTCGCGCACGCCATCAATATTTTCCAGGCATTTGGCATCAACTGACCTGGCGCCGCATCTAGTTTATTCAACACATCAACCACAACTTGAGGCAGCGGTAGCCTCACACCTCCTCGCAATGCCTCCTCGTACAAGCTAAATTCCCCCGTCCGTGCATCCGACGCCCTCTCGGTAGATGTCGGCAGCCTCAACCCTATTTCCAAAGGAATCTGGTACTTCCTCCTTATTCCCTCCAACTCCGCCGGTGTAAGAGTGGATCTGTCTGCCTTTGTGTGCCAGTGATCTGGTTCTGCCAGGCTGATTGGCATTCTAGCTGCTATCATGGTGGAACCTTGGGATCGTCCCACCAACTCCCCCACCCTCTCCGTCCGGTACTGCTGCGCCAACTCCACTGCATCATCATCACCAAGTGGATCCACCCTGACATTCGGCCACCAACCACTCCAACACCTTTAATTGCTTACATTTATCTCCTTTCTCAGGTACCCTAGCATACACCAAAGCTTTGTTTGCAGTTTCATCTGTGCTGAAAACCATAACCGCTATCCCCTGTCATTCACAGACTAGTCATGCAAACTTCATACAGACATATAAGAGCATTATGACAAAATAAATAAATAAATAAAAGCATTGGGACATATTAGCTGGAAGGCTAGAAACTGTAAACAACCTTCTCGTCCATGACTTTGACAACCGCTTCACGCATTGTTGTAGTGTCCAAACCAACATTGACACGTGATATACAGAAAGCCTTTCCATCAGATGCAGCAACTTCTGCTGTCTCGATTGCAACCTTGATAGCTTTCTGTATATTCTCTTCAGCAATCTTCTTTTTTGCTTTTATCACTTGATTCTAGTAAAATATAGCAATTTAGAATCAACTTCAACCCAGAGATATATAAGCAAGAGGTTTGGTTATCAATAGAACTGAAATAGGGTAATTTCTTGCTCAACATAGATGAAAACCTGAAGCACAGATACTTTGGCCTTTAGATCAGCTTTCTTGGCTGCTGGAATAGTTGCTGATTCCATGCGGCCATTTAAAGAAGTTACTTTTTGGGAAGAGGAACAGAAGCTCAATGTAATATCTAGCTGAACATCTAGTTGATGCATTGCACAATGAACAGAAGCTCAATGTAATATGTAACTGATCCACCAAGTGAATAGAACTGCCCAAAATAGTTACTATTACCATGCTGTCATAAATTTATCATCATATTAAACGATATCCCATAAACCAAAAATATCCAATTATCTATTGGCTAAAACTAACACAATGTGAAGGAGCTGTTAACCAAATAGTGTACAAACACCCTTTAACTAAAAAAGTGAGTACATGGGAACATAAATATAAGCAGGCGCCAAACTACGTAACATATGTTCAAATGAAGAGCTTATTCAACCATCTTCGAGATTTAAGGCATACCACTTTCTCAAATTCCTATCAAGTGCCCATTCACCAATTCTAATGAAAAACAGACCAAGAATAGGAAAAAACACCAGGACGGTTGAATAGAAAAGGCAAGCTAAAAAAACACCATTTGGAAAAGTAATAAGCTAGACCAAGAATAAAAAAACGAGCCCGGATTCTCGGCCGCCGTCTTCTAGAGAGAATGAGGAGAAAAATAGGGTTTAGAGTGAGAGGGAAATGCTTAAAATGTGATACACACACAGCCAAAAAGAGAGAAGAAAACAGAGTTTCGGGCTGCCCAGACTGCTGCACGTGCGGCGCCCATCCCCGCACGTGCGGAGCTCCTTCCCCGCACGTGCGGCCCTCACCCCCGCACGTGCGGTGGCCCTGCCGCACCTCAGCCCGCACTTGCCTTTTAGGCAGTGTGCAATCTTCAGAACCTCTCCTCTCCCCGCATGTGCAGCCCCCACCCCGCACGTGCAGCCCTGGCCCAGTAGCCCAGAAATTCAGGTTCATCCTCCTGGGCACTCCGGACTCAACCGTGCACCCTCCGAAACAAGTGAAATTCAACACCGACGAAAACAAGAATAAGAACTTTAATTGAAAATAACTTCCAAACATTTCAAACCCAACAAGAGCAAAAGGAGAACGTAGGGAAGAAGAAAGAAAAAAAAAATAAAATCAGAAAACCCCCAAAACGACGTCGTTTTGGGGGGCTGCCGGGAACGGCCGCCGAGAAGGGCGGCCGACGATCCTGATTCTAAAAAAACACCAGGAAGCTATTGGTTCGCATGTTCATCATAGGCTAAAATGTCAAATCTATTAATTGACAACTAGAAGAATCACCTACCTGGGTGCCTTGGTAACAGGAAATGTTAGATATGTATAAACCTCAAAACCTAAGTCCTTCCAACACTTGACCTTCCAATAAAGACTGGTATGAGCAAAATATATGAGGAAAGGATACATAAATTACACCGAGTCCAAATTATACTAACTACAAATCTGATAACCAGATGAACAAATTCTCAAACAACAGTAATATAACTGTAAGCTTTCAAGCAGTTTAAAATTTAATTGTTTCATAGTGAAGGAAGCACTAAAAGAACATTCAAAGCATTAGACAAATTATACCAAGAGACAATAAGATTGATAAACTTTTCACCAAGTTCAACATTAAATCAAACTACATAAAAAAATACCTAAATTGTTAGCAAGGTACTTCTATTTATTTATTTAAATATTTATCTGTCAAAAGCACCAAATCCTTCAATTCTGCTAGAAACAGGAAGCATAAACTTGTTCATATCATTATTTTCTCGACAACCAAACAGAGTTTCAAAAGCAAAAACACCATCACTAACCTGAAATTTTTGAACCCAATTTCTTCACCTTCGAATCATCCAAACGGGATTTGGGTTCGACCTCATATGCATCAGAAATCGAGCGACGAGTGGTGTCTCTTCGTTCATGGCTTCTCAGAACTATCAATTGGGTCAATTCACCACAACGAGATGTATAAACCCTAGAAATTGGTGGTGTGGTGGGACATATCAAAGAGAGTATGAGAGTGAGGTGAAGAGAAAGAAAGAGAGAGAGAGAGAGAGAGCACCATTTGAATCCCCTCCCCTTCGAAGCCTCTCTTTATTTTTACTAGTGGACAAGTAGTCGCGACAATTGGATTTGGAGTTGATGTTGTGCATTTCAGATCGAACATTCATGGAGATTTTGAGATCGGGGATTCAATTGCCGAAGAGGATAGTTAATAGATTGGGATTGGTGAGAATGATTTTGGAGAAGTAAAAATTTGAGGTTTGGAGTTTGTTGAAGGTGAAGATGAATTTGATGAAATCGGATTTGAGAGGGCATTTGAGATCGCCCTCGACGATCTGTTCGAGGACGTGAAGTCAGGAATCACAAAAGGTGAGGAAGAAGCCGATTTGGGAGAGATCGGGCTTGGGGACTAGTCTCGACGACGAGGATGATGATGAAGAAAATGGAGTTTCATGGTATGTTTTGAAGGTTGAAGGTTAAAGCCAAGGTTGGTAGTGACTTGTAATTGAATAGTTTTGAGACCAACTCAGAGGTTGATTTTGTGTGTTAGGGTTGAGAGTTGGGGTTTTTGATTATTTTTTTATTATTATTAATTTTTTTGAAGAATTGGCGCCAGAAAATTTTATTTTGGCGCTATTTGTTTTTTTGGTCATACCTTTCACGACATGTATTGTGCGTCGTAAAAAGGCAATACTTTTAATGACAAGTGATGTGTGTGTCGTAAACAGTGTAATATTTTTAACGGCGGGCGTTGTGTACGCCGTGAAAAGTATTCACTTTTCACGGCTGACGTATGTGCGTCTTGTATAATTGATGTATTAATGGCATGCCATATGCACGTCGTAGAAAGTTTTATTATTTACGGTGTGCATTGCAAGCCGTAAAAAAATCATCGTTTTTACCATTCACGACCTACGTAATAAACATGCCGTGGTTGGAAAAGTATTTACGACATGCAAAAAAAGCAAGTCGTAAAAGTGAGAAACTACGGCGTGCATTTATTGTATGCCGTTGATGTGATGCCGTAAAAAGTCAGTTTTGTTGTAGTGACTTACCATCGATAACATGACACAGCCGGTGACTTTTGCTGGCTTTTTGTCGTTTTAGAAAATGGAGGATGTCAGCGTTGTTCTAATTTGTTTGGCCCAATCATATTCTTTCATGCTTTCCAATGGGACCATATGTGCGTAGTAGCCCCATCCTATTGTCTTGCCGCTTGTCGAGAAAAAAAGTTTCTAGCAAGCATACATGCAGACTAGTGGGTGACTTTTTCGTTGTCATCTTTCTTTTTGCCTTTCAATGCCTCAGTCAAAAGAGTGTGTATCCATTTTGAAGTCAACCGGCTGATATTTTTACACCTTTTTTTTATAATGCCAATCTTTGGTTTCGCACCATATGATATGCCCATTGGTTTGGTGCCATGGTCCACACCAAAACTCAGCTTAATGTCGTTATCGTATATGTTCATCTTCTTCTCCCTAATGTAGAAAGCATCTTTTGAAGCCTCGTACATTTGTAGGACATGCACAATAACATCATCGTATTTCATAAATTTGTCAAGGTCGATCTCATCGTTTCTCAATGCATCTAATAAATGCCAGAAAGATGTTTACCGCAGGCGGCCGAGCTATGCTTGTGTAAATTTGGTGCTTTTCATTAATTTCACCAATCCGGTCATGTTAGATCTGTAGTTGACACACCGCATGTCAATATTGCTGTTAGTATTTGCACGTGGGCTTTCTTTCTTGACAAGGCACTCGTCTCTTTTTCGCTTTGAGGTTTTCTTTTGTGCAATATCTACAAAATAGAGCATAAAAAAAAATTAAGACAAGGCTCATGTGATTAAAATAGTGGCACAGATGTGAACATTCACAACATTAGCAGAAATATGAATGTTCACAATTGTGTGCCTAGGTGTGATTGTCCACAATTGTGTGCATGACAGTGAACATCCACATCTGTCCATGGATGTGGATGTCCAATGTGTCAGCAAAAACACAATGTGTATAGTGTGTGTGTGTGTGTAAAAATCAATGTGTGTATATACAACCATGAACAACATTCAAGAACATACAGATGTTAACCCAAACAAATCAAAGGATGTTATGAACATTCACAGTATTAATTTGAATGACAGTGCACAAACTTACTACAATCATGCAATGCCAATTTTATAGTATAACCTCAAAATTGAAATACAGTTTCAAACATGGGATAACAAAAGTGATATATTTCCTCTAAACACAGTGGTGAATGTTCACAAAGTGTCTAATTAATTTACATATGTTATGAATGTTCACAACATAATTACATATCACAATAACATCTAACCCAAGGAAGTTGGACCATGATTCATTGTTTTCATGTGAATGTTCACTACGGTTAACAACAACAATTTAATTGGCCAAACATTTTCAACCTATGTAAATGTTCATAGCTTTCAACAACGACAAAAATAACATCTGAAATAATTTGACTAGCCCAACATTTTTCAATCTATGTGAATGTTCACATCTTTCAACAACAACAATAACATCTGAAATAATTTGATTGGTGCAACATTTTGCAATACATGTGAATGTTCACAACTTTCAAAAACAACAACAACAACTGAAACAATTTGCTTACCTAACAATTTTCAATTTAATGTAAATGATTACATCTTTCAACAACAATAACAATAACATCTGAAACAATTTAATTGGTCCATCATTTTTCAATCCATGTGAATGTTTACAGCTTTCAATAACAACAACAACAACAACAACAACAACTGAAACAATTTGCTTGCCCAACAATTTTTAATTTCATGTGAATGTTCACATCTTTCAACACAACATAATGGCCACTGTAATGTTTTTGGCTGAAAAAAACCCATATAATTAAGGATTGGGGTTGAGGGGTTTAGATAAACGATTAAGGCATGAACAATAACAATATGAAGTTCCATATATTGTATGAATAGAAACAAGGGATATTTGTAAAAGTTCACAATGTCGTTTGTTGAAGAAGAGGTTTAGGGTGTACATACAAGAATGATGAGATTACTTACGTTTTTGACCCATTTCAACGGTTGCGTTGTCACAAATGGTCGTCGATGGTGATTTTGACGAAGATGTAACTTACGGATGTTCAATAATGGTGATTTCCATGATTTCAGCGACCGACAACGTAGAGATGACGAAAAAGACGATGAGACGATACGACGATGGGAAAATGAGAGTCTTCTGGGTGTTGAGACGATATGGAATACGGTTTTGAATTTTTGGAATGATGGAGATACTGTGCGTGATTTTCTACAAGAAGAGAGGGGAAAAGAGAAGGTTATTTGATTCAAAGATGGGGCGCGTGTTTGTGTGAGGGTGTTTTGGTCTTCTACTATGTAATGGGACGTAATGGAATATTATAAAACACTTTGGGTCTGATGGAATAGGACTCTTAGAGAGTGGATTTACTAAAAATGCTCTCACAAATAAATTTTAAAAAAAAATAGTCAAAGGTGGCATATTTGAATGGACAAATTTACCCTTAAACTTTAGTTTCGAAAATTTCAATTATTAAAAGTTTTCTCTCATTTTTTTCTGTTACAATTTTATTTTTAATAGTCTAGACCGGTGAGTATTTCCTGAACACGTGGGGCTTACCATGCGATAACGAGTGTGCGGGGCGTATCAACTACTGTTGTGCTGTTATATTGGCCCATTTTGGGATCTGTTTCGATGATCTAAATCATTTACTTTTTAAAGTATATTGAGTAGAACATAACTGCAAAAATTAAGTTGATCAGATATTATTAATCATTTCATCGAATTATATTGTATCTTCAAAAATAAATGATAAATGTGATTTGAAATATAAAACTGAATACAAATGTGAGTGGATAAAAGGATTAACGATATTTGATCACCTTAATTTTTTTCAAGTATGTTCTTTGCAATATATTTTAAAAAGTAAAAGATTCGGATTATTAAAATGGGCCCCGAAATGGTTCCATATGACCACACAATAGTGGCTGATGTGCCTCCGCATAGGAGCTACCCTAACTCCCTCATCATGATTCTTGTTTTGATAATTTAAATCGTTTATTTTATCGAGCCATTCGTATATATCATAGTGTTTTTAAAAATAAACCATTTTTTTTGACAAACTCAATAAATTAAGTTACAATTATTAAATTGATCTAATTTTTGTGTGTATGATAAATATGAAGAATCTTACAAAAGGAACAATTCGAATCATAAAAATAAAATCAAAGTGAACCCCACGAGTCTAGATAGAGAAGACTACAATCCTAAACATGAAAACCCATAAAATCTTTAGAATTTTACATCAATAGTTTGGATTTACTTAAGGTATGAACCTACAACACCAACTTTAAATATCAACCATAAATTTCTTTTTCTTTTTCTTTTTCTTTTTCTTTTTGGTTCCATTTTTGAGACTATGGAATTACTGATCCAAATAACATCCTCCAATCCAGATTATGGACTAACAGTAAGTCCAATCCTTTTGAAAACACTTGATCTCAAATCAACAATTCAATTTGCTATGGAAATAAAACTCATTCGAAACAAATAAGGTTTGTTGGTTTAATTTATTTATTTTTTTTGGAGTAATAGATTGAAACTCTATTTTTTTGAGCTAAAAAAATAGTAATAATTTGAAAAATTATATTATCCTTACCTATATGTCTATATGTCTACTATCTACTTATATGTCCACCTTAATTATTTGTCTAAATGTCATTTATTTATCTACCTATATGTTCACGTATTTTCTATTATTTGTCTATGTCACATCTATCTGTCTATCTAATCTACTTATTTGTCCATATGACCATGACTTTTTCGATAAACTTTCTAATGACAACCGACAACGGTCCAACAATCAAGGACGGAGCTATGGTAGGGCCAAGGGGTCACGTGCCCCTTGGATTTTTAATAATTATAATAGTGCCCTCCTTAATATTATAATAATGTCATTCTATTAAGGATTTTCTTTCTAATTACAAAAATTCTACTAAAATGAGTCATTTTACCATACACTCTCCAAAAGATTATGTCATATACAAGTCATGATATTTTATGGTGTTAATACCAAAAAGTGTTAGAACTAAATCATTTTCGATTATAACTAAAAGAACCATAATAAATAATAACCAAATATCACATTTTTGGTCATAACCTAAAAATAATTCTAATATGTCATAAGTAAGTCATAACTAGCATCACAATGAGTCATAACCAAGGTTTATAACTAAAATAGTAGTCACAAAAAATCATAACAATGAATCATAATTAATATCATAATGTGTCATAATCAAATACTATAAAGATAATAACTACGACATATAATATATGCTTTTTTGTGACCTATTTATAGAATTTTCCTATTAAAATTAATATATCACTTCTACCTCGACTCATTTTCTCTTATAATTTTCTAATATACTTATAATAGTTACTCTCCAATATTTTTATAAAATTCAACCTTAAATCCCTTAATTTGAAATTGATATTTATCCCAATGGACTTATAATAATTAAGTACAGTAATATTT